ATCTGGACCATTATCCCCTGCCTGTTGTCCGCGACTTTATTCGCATTTCCCGTCATGTTTGGAGGCCGTCTCCGACCGCAAATGACTTTTTTACATTAAATACGTATCTCATTAATATCTATTCACGACTTTTATTTGAAACTTTTTTCGATATCGTGTCTATTCATAAAATTGTAACGAAAGTAATTTATAACTGTGCACTGTGACATCTGTAGTCCTATTATCTTTGCAACAGCGGGGTTGTTTGTGCAGTAAATGAACATGACGGCCTTTATGTACATAAACCACATGAAACTCGTTTGGAAAACACTAACTGCTGTAGTCATTATATTTCTGTTTTTATTATTCATGAGCACAGCCGGTTCTACTGGTAGCAGGGAATTACTATTTATTCCCTTAGCGACAAACAGTCCCGTAAAATAATTCAATGTAATTTCCTTGTTCATTACGTAGCGTCCATAAACAACAAGGCTCTCCCCTGTTTTCAGACGGGAGGCAAGTAAATTGCACGTTGATCGGGATGAGCTGCCGCCTCACGTCGTGGTCCGCTCTGAGGACAAGGGGCCATTTGGACAGTACTTTGTTGTGGGTGTTTTTAAAAACATTCGTCTCAGTTAATTTTCCAGGCTCCGAGTCTGTAGTTCGAACAGATGTCGCAGAGTAAGCAGCCTTTATAGTAAATTAATGTGCGGGTAAGTCGGCTGTTACCAACAAGTACATGTCACTACAAAAACTATAACGTTACTTTATCTCTGTGGGTTAGGCTGTGTAGTATTGACTAGCTGGGTAGTTATGAAGGACGTGGAAAGAAGTTGCCCTTGTCCCAAGGAATTGGGGGGGGGGGGGGCATTAGTGAAAATAGTCCGTCTCCGAGCCGATATTCCAACCCGGATTTCACTAACACAAATCAGGAGTGATGACCACAATGATACGATGTTTTGTGACACTGGCCGTTCGAACCGCCTTTACCCGAGATACCCCGTGGAAGGGAGACTGAATGGATCTCAGTCAGAGTCATTCTGCACCGAGTGATGACGAGAAACTAATTCTCTGTGCCGGAATTGGGGAACTGTGCGTCCAGACTGAGCCCATTTAATTGTTAACATAACCACATCTTATTCCTAAATGAAATACAGTGGGTTTGCCGCAGACTTTATGAGATGGCGTTAATAAAATTAGTGCCACTTCTTGGTCGAGAAAGCAGCGGTTTCTTCCTGCTCTGGGGTACTCATGGGTACCCTGGTATGACATCTTGTGGACTCCACATAATCTGTGGCGATGTTATGATAGTTGATGTTTCCCCCTTCTCTGAATTGAACCACCCCAAGTTACCCACACCCCCAATAACTATTTACAGTTTTCAACTCTGCCTTGTTTGTTTCAGCCCTGCTGGGCTTATTCCCTCATCTCCTATAGCTGCTACTAAACTCAAATCGATAAACTTCTCGTAAAAGAATAGTACGTAGGAGGCTGCAACATGCAGAACATAAAAGTGAGCAATGCGATAACTTTGCAACAGTATAACTACAGTAATAGATTTTACGTCTTAAATAAATACACATCGTTTCCATTGAGGGATGCAAATCAGTCCCTGCGTGTGGTCCTTGCGATGACAGGTCAGTTATGATGTCGCCGCGTGATGCCTGTATCGATCCCTGCCAGGGCCTCGGTTCCTTCCTGAGAGGGGTGTTCACTGTTGAAACAGTCATATTGGAAGGAGGACACACGCCCTCAGCGGGGCTCGAACTCTAGATCCCAACCTTTGGTTCATAGCGAAAGCGGTGTTTGCGCAAAATTGTTTTCTCGCCAGTTTTGTTCAAATGATTCCCTGAAGGTTTGTGACCTGCTTGGTCCATTATGTACATACTACTGTTGTGTTGCGTACTTTTCATTATCTGGGGCCTCACGAGGTTTGTGGGGGGGGGGGGGCTGTTTGGGTCGCACCTGGTCCCATTTGAATACGCCAGCTATTGGGGGTCTTGTGTTATGAACGTCCCCATTGCGACCCCAACCATTTCCACGTTATTAAATATAAAGTGGTAAATCTCTAAATATAATACGGGAATAACGCCAAGTCCTAAAACATTTTGTGCTTCAAATGTACCTCGAGTAGACAGTGTCCAACATTATTTAATGATATTTGCTGTGTTACACCGACCATTATGGTGGCACCCGGTTTGAATCCAGTCGGACACTGGTCGTCTTCGCTAATGTTCTCTTTCTTCTTCGATTCTTCCAGGTACGGTATCTTTAAACATACCACGACCGCTCCCATTTGAGGATTTTTCACTTCTCGTTCAATGCTATATGACGCACGCATCGTGACAAGTCGTCAGAGGAAAGGAGATGACAACAATAATAATGAAGTGTAATAAATATAGAATAGCAATTGTATTTTAACTCTAGCGTCGCTTGCATTACATGTAAATAACTAAACACTGACGTGGCTAATCGCCCGAGAGGATTTTATAACACTCGTGCGCTGTGAAATTTTTAAAGTTTACGTATTTAAAAATAACGCGCTGCTGAACTATTGTACGTTTATTAAATTATAATCAAGTTTCAGTAGATTTTGGGCTCATGGAACAAAAAATTTCACGAATGTTCGAACTAACTTATTTACAAGAGTCGCGAACGTGGTTTCTCCATTATACATACTCAGCAAGCTCCGTATGCCAGCACAGCTTACACGACGAGCAGTGTATCAGCTTCTCTCCTTTCCGATCAACCGAAAACATTCCGTAGTAGACAGTCTGTTCAGCGTTCTCATCTGAAGGTTGATTTGTTGCGCTGAATTTTTCGCACCTAAGGAAATTTCAGAATCTTGGAGAGAGAGAGAGAGAGAGACAAACAGTGATATTTCACGTTTGTGACACACATGGTATCTCATATTACTACAACCACGTGCTCATGATTTAAACGGTGCTCACATAATTTTAGTATAGAATATCTGTAATTATATAAACTTCGGCCGAAAGTATTCAGTTGTTGAATGCTGCATCTATTTCCACGAAATGGTGGGTTTGGCGGCAGCAGTTTTAAACAAATCACAGCGGTCTGAAAAATAAAATAAAAGAGAAGTTGTTTCTCTCTAAACAGTACTGCGACATACAGTAGAAATAAGCGTATCTTACATAGCAGTTTGAGACGTTTATCGACAGTTTGCACTAATCCATAGTGGAGAAAGCATGGTGTACCATATTACTTTCATGTTCCATATTTGACCAACTTTTTCTAATAAATAGCCCAGCCGAAAAATGAGCGTGAAAAACAAACTTTTGCCCTATATTCTTTACACAGCTAGCATAAAATGTTGGCTTTGCCAGAAGGTAGTTTGTACGTCCGTACTCGTGTTTCATCTTCGAAACTACTCAACGAATTTCGATTAAATTTGGTGTTGCTAATAATTAATCTCCGGGTTCCATACAAGGCGGACACTTCCTTGACTGTCTGAGCAACAAGTTGGCGGTCTCAGAGTCTACAACAGAATTATTCTGAAGAACTGTCCATCATACCAAAATTTTATGAATGACTGAAAATATAAACTGCTTAAGACCTAGAGGTCTGTTTGAAATTGTTTTCCATTTGGTGAATATGTGACGAAATGCGTTGAAAACTTTTTTGGTCGCTGTATATTTCCAGTACGATTAGCTGTGCAACAGTTTAATTATTTGAAGACTGTTTGGGGTATACAGAATCGGTAAGAACGCATTTGGAAGATGATTACGTGACGATAGGTTATTTATACTTCGATTAATTTCTTCCCAAAGTTTTTTTAATTTTTTGTGTCGTGGATCTTGATGTGTCTGTCTGGTTCATCACGTAAGGGTCACATGTTATTGATTCACCAATCTTGTTGACGTTGTTTGAGGAGATAAGCTGTGAAAGTCACAATATCTTCTGCAGATGAAACCCCGTCTTACCACGTTCGAAAAGTCAGACGGTGCGACAGCTTTAGTGAACCTCCGGTAAGTCTGGGCGTCGTATTTCGTCAAATATACACCACATCGAAAAGAAAAACTTCTTAGTGTATTTTTATTTGTACTTTATTTAACGGCGCTGTCAGTAGCACAGACTACCATGTCTAGTTTTGAATGATTAATGAATAATAAATTGGAAAGACTACCAAGTCTTGTCCAAATTTAAGACACTACCCATCAGCTGCTTTGAGTAACTGAGGAAAACCATGATAAAACCCTGTATTTGTCATTCTGTCTTTGAATTGAGATTCGAAATTTCGACCTCTCGATCACAAAGCAGGGGTACTAGACACTTGGTTCTTAATAGTAATCACAAGTCATGCTAATTTTATGACATTTCTTGTTGTGAATGAACCAGAAATATATGTCAATGGTTTGGAGACTCTAATGAGTCCATGTTTTATGCCTTTTCCGAACGGCAAAACCTGTAATATCATTAAAGTCTCCAACTTTGTCTGTTTAACTGTTCTCATAAAGCTGATGAAGTTACTTGTGATCTTACAATGTCAGGATTATAGTACAAGGGTACCAAAAATTAAATTAGTTTTACAGCTTTTTGTGTTGATCACCAGTACCTTATTTTGTCCAAATAGGTTGTATTTAAGGTGAAATATGGGAATGGGCATGCACATTTATTTCACAATTTTCTTCTGAAGAAAACATAACCTTGAAAGTTTACTATAAAACGAATAATAACTGCACTGTGAATTTGATTTTGTTGTTCAGAATGGGATGTCATTTCTAAACAGTTTTGTGTTAAAAGATATTACGTTTAAATGCAAGATGAAGTGAAATCGTTGTTTATAAACAGATAATAATGGTATTTTAGATTATATTGTATTTGTATCAAGTTTATTAAAAGTTGATTTATGTGTAACTCTGGTTTTTGGTTGTTTGGTCATGAAGTGGGCAGAGGAATTTCCAAACAGAAGTTCTGTTTCATGTACCTTAAGCAAAGTAGAAGACATGACAGTTGTAGCAATGTGCTTTGTGGTTCCTAAGTGTTTATTTTTTGTTTCAGGGTTTTCAAGAAAAGTTCTCCAAATGGTAAGGTGAGTGAATAGTTACACCATGGAAAGGATTGTTTGGTTTGTTTCTGAGATCCAAACACATATAAAGATAAAGACGGTCTTTTTTGTATAAGATTATGGAATTGGTGTTTTTTAATGTTTAAATTTATTTTGTGCAATCAGTGAAAAATTCCACAGCTCGAGTCAAGTGCAAATTACTTGGAATATATTACATGCAATGGAGAATACTTGTTTCGAATGTAACTGTCTGATTGCACTGGATACTTAATACAATACATTGTGTTTGGTGTTCCTCGAACATCATGATGTGTTCAGTTATTCAGTAAATTCCCTCTTGCTATTGAATCTGATGGGTAATGATCTCTGTAGGACTTACAATGAAATTGATTGAGATTAGCTCATTCTAACGGACCCCACAGCGTAGATACCCATCCCCTTCACTACACCTGAAGACAAGGACAGAGCCAGTCCTCAAAACATTGTGTCATTTTATAACATCAGACAATCCAAAAACCCAACAATCCATATTATACTGAAATTTCTCAGTATATTTTACATCTCAACAATCTGTTTCTCTAAGATTGATTTTAATATTGATCTCCCATCTGTTCCATGATCCTCAGAGTGGTCTGTCTGCTTGAGGTTTTCCAACCAGAATGTTGTATGCATTTTCTTTCATGCATGCAATATGCCCTTCCTATCAGTTTCCTTTATTTAACAATTTGCAAATCATGAAGCACTCCAGCAGTTTATTTTCTCCATTATTCTGCTTTCTTTGTTTTGCAGATCACAGTTTACCTGGGCAAACGGGATTTTGTGGACCACATAACGCATGTAGATCCTATAGGTAAGGGAAATGTTCAGTATTCCATTACAGAAATGTTGCTGCATTCATTCATACCATATGCCATTTTTTCCAGTCCTACATATTTGGAATCAGAAGATACTGACAAGTGTATTAACCCTGGTGGCCCTTTCTTCCAGACGGTGTGGTTCTTATTGACCCAGACTATGTGAAGGAACGTAAGGTATTTGGACACGTCCTCGCAGCATTCCGTTATGGACGGGAGGATTTGGATGTCCTGGGTCTTACATTCCGGAAAGATTTGTACCTGGCTGCGGAGCAGATATTTCCTCAGGATGGCAGCTCCAAGCGACCGCTCACACGGCTACAGGTGCCTTTACATTAGTGACCAGCTATCCTTGCATATTTAAAGGATTTCCTCACTCTGTTTAAGAGAATGGTGGGGTGGTTTCTTTGGATTTGGCCAACACTATTTACTCTCTCTTTCTGTCCAGTTCAAGTTACGTAATCAGCACTTCACTGACCATGAAAAATCGTCAGTTTTTTCAATAATTTCCATATGTTGACAGACTATGTTTGTTTTAGGAGCGCCTGATCAAGAAGTTGGGACCAAATGCATACCCATTCTACTTTGAGCTGCCTCCTCACTGTCCAGCATCTGTGACACTTCAACCAGCTCCAGGTGACACAGGTAAACCCTGTGGTGTTGACTACGAGCTGAAGGCATTTGTTGGTGAGACACAGGAAGACAAAGCTCACAAAAGGTAAATATTCTTTGATTCATTAATAGGTTGTTTTCATTCAATTATGTAGTGAGAGACTGGACATAAATTCAGTAACTATTGTCATTCCTTCTCCTCTGCAAAACACTCCAGATTAAAATCTATAAAATGGTGATTTTATATTGGTGTTGAAATGTCATTGACTTTGGAAGGTAAACATGGAACTTCCTTAAAATTAGTTACTTAGTCATTTAGAAGACCAAGATGAAGACAGGAGAACAACATTAAAATGGAACTTGGTGAATATTATAAGAATGGGAGTTGAATTTAAGTTCCTCAGAATCATGTTCATTGGTGGATTTTTTTTATCCTGAAGGATAATAAGTGGTATTAGTATCAGGAGAGGAACAAACTGAAGTCTGTGTGTAGGGTAAGTTTTGACAAATTAAAATTCAAGTCCGCTATAGAGAACATGCATTTGTTTTTTGATGAGAGAGAAAATACATCATACTGCGCAGGTCACAAAATTAAAAGATAAAATTGTCCTTTGTGCTTAATTAAGCATCATGCCATACAGACAAATGGGGCAGTGGAGGCATCGATTTCACACATTCTTAACCTTGTGGGTGGTTAGCTTCACACCTCAGCTGCTTTACCCTTCAGTAGAAATTTCAGTACTTAATAATTGAATAGGAGGCTAATAACTTGACAATTAAGGTATGGAAATAAGTGTCTGGTAAATATGAACGCATGGTGGAAGAGACTTACAGAAGAGCCAGAGTGATAAAACGCAGAGTATTTTTGTAAGAGATGTGTATCCATTTGAATGTCATATAAATATTTTCCTATGAACTGTAAATGTAAGTTAATGCAGTGAATTAATTTATACTGTGTGGTATATTGGTGGTAGGATCAGGATATTTTTGGCAGCCCCAGTTCTGTTGTATACCAAAGAGAAACTCTTATAACTGAGATTATTTCCTTGGTGTTTTAATTAATAAGGAGACAATTGCCATATGTTTTTTAATAAAAGTAATGTTATTGGCTATGAGTTCAGAGACTGTACTGTTTTATGAATAAATTCTTGAAACATGCAAGCTTAATTAAAGTTGATGCAAATATAAGGAAAGACAGTACTTTTACATGTTCATGTGTATGTAGAATGCTGGCCTTGTAATCCTGGGGTCCTGGGTTTGATTCCCGGTGGTGCCCGAATTTATAACTTGTGTTTGGGCAAGGCCGTGGTCTAGGCAACATGGAGTTTTCCTCCGGGGCCTCCCCAGTTTCTCTGTGGCATCCCAACAATTACTCCATACCCCATACACACAGAAGAAGACAATGGCAAACCACTTCTGTATCACCTGCCTAAAAAACATATAAGAACAGGTCCCATTCCGAGAAAAGGATGGAAGGATCCTGTTTATAATATGTCACCAACCTCCTGTAAAGGAGACGGCGTAATAAAGAAGAAGTGTATGTAGAAACACATACACATAATATATATACAGTAGGATGTAAAGTGGCCATTATTCTGATTATGTGACAGGAATTCAATTCGTCTGGCAATCAGAAAAATTATGTATGCACCAAGTAAACAGGGTGAGCAGCCATCAGTGGAGGTGAGCAAGGAGTTCATGATGAGCCCCAATAAACTGCACTTAGAGGCCTCGCTTGATAAAGAGGTGAGTTGTCTGTGAATTCAATGGATATGATGGATTAAATAGAAACCTGTCTGATGGCAGTTAATCAGTGATCTTTTTGTCTCTGTCAATGACCATAAGCATCGAAACACTGAGTTACCAAGCACTGGATGTCTTGTAGAATTCTGCTGATTGTGTGAAATATCAGTCATCCCTTTACTGATTTTGTCAGTGTCTGGATAGGTATGTAAAGTGCACAGAGAGATGTGGACTGTTCTCCTCATTCTGGTTTGATCTCTCATAATTGCCCTTGGACAGGCTTCTCTTGAACCTTCCACACAATATAGCAGCAAGTTCTTATTTTGCATGGAGGAACTTTTAAATGTGCAGTGGGTATCTGTTTGTGAACCTGTGTCAGTGAACTCACTTTCAATTTTATGTATCAAAAAAGTATAGAAATTTATGACATAAATATTTTAATTGATGAGTGATTTCTGTGCAGTTTCTTAAGGTTTTGTGTTATTTATTCCTTCTTATTAAATATTCATAACATCAAAAATTTTATAAAATAGTTTGGTTAGGAAGAAGTAAGATTGTTATCCATGATTTTTATCATTTTGAAACCATTGATTTTTGTATGCATTTTTGGAATTTGATTAATATATTTATACTTCAGAAGTAACTAACACACACAATTTTTCAAAATTCAAATCAGGGGTGTAGTTAACCATGTTAGCTGTGCTAACACCAATAACAGAAACACTTTTCTCTGATTCAAATAAAACTGCATTTCTGTACTTTTATTTTTTATGGCATTTGAAACTGACATTTTGCATCCCAAACTGCTGATTTGATTGGTAAGACCAGACATCACATTTTAGTGGTTAGTGTTTCTGCTTCATATTTGGGAGATCCCAGATTCAAGTCTCAGCCTAGGGATAGGATGTCATGATAATATCTCGATGATGCTAATGAAAACATAAGACTCTAATAGTCAGTTTTTCTCAGAAATCATTGAAACACACTGGATTACTTCACATTTTTTATTTCTAAATGTAATATAACCTTATTATTGAAGTATAATAAAAGAAAAAGTGTATGGTGATACCTACTTTATCAAAATGAAGGTTTAAATTAGAGTGGCATTGTGTCATGTTTTTGGCGATAATTGACTTTTGTATGTTGTGTCACAGTTGTATCACCATGGTGAGAATATTGCTGTCAATGTTCACATAGCAAACAATTCAAATAGGACTGTCAAGAAAATAAAAGTTTCAGGTAATTATTCATACATTCCTATTATAAGTAAAATATAGTATTATACATGATGGAAATGAGTTAAACTTTAGAAAGTAATGCACAGTGAAAGATCAGCAAGAAATGGAATTAAACAAATCTGCAAGAAAAGAGAGATTTAGTAAGACCAAGAATACGATAGCTTGAGGTTAGAAAAGGTATCTAGACTAACCTTCAATAAAATTCTGAAATATGACAGGGTGAGGGCACAGCTAAATTTTTTGTCATAGTTTAAGCTAGAGATCTCATTTCCAGGACCTGTAGTCTTAAGATGTTATTATAAGGCTTACCAAATATTGGCACATTCATTGCCAGAGGGACATCTTTGTAGCTCCAATGCAGGGCGAAGTACAGTGTTACTCAACCAGGAAACTAAATGCTCTTATCAAATGAATGTTGAAAATTGACGCTTTGGTTTCTCAAAGCTTGTAGCAACTGGATGACATCTGTTAGAGTAAAGAAAATGTTTGGATCGCTGAGACATTGTGAGCCATCATTGGGAATGAATGTGTTAAATGTGACAACATGGCATGGCACATTGAAACTTTTCTTGTTATTTCATTACAAGTTCGGCAGTTTGCGGATATCTGTCTCTTCTCCACTGCCCAGTACAAATGCACAGTTGCTGAAGCAGAGAGCGAGTGAGTATAACATTGATTCACTTATAAAAACTATGGACTCATTGAAAGATTCACATAATTAATTATTTATGATGAATTACAAAGTATGAACCTCCTGAGGTTTGGACTTCAAATATGATGTTAATTCTGGAAGAATAAGGAACTGTGTATGTTTCTAGTCATGTCATTTATTTTGCTTTTATTGTTTCTTGTACAAACAAGACACATCCAGGGATTCATTACAGAAGTTATAGAAACTCTTATCTTCACTTCTCAGTCAAATTGCATACTAAATGGAACTTTCTAGAGTCTACATCAGTGCACCTTTTTAGTTATTGTTTCATTATTTTACTCTTAATCATTCAAGGATTATAATCAAATAATACAGTTGTCTCAGTTTTCCATGGTTGGTATCCTTTTGTTGCCACTGTAACATAGAAACAGAAAAGAGGCAACTCTTCTTGGTTTCAATGACATATCAGAGATAGTTTATGTTCTCAGTAGGCCCTGTTAAATCAGATCAAGCGTAATGTTATCTGCTTATATTACAAGAGTATATAATTTGTGATATGATGGCATTAAATGTCTGCAGCTTGTGTTCTAAAGCTATCACTGTGTTAATAAACTTCAAAATTAATGGTTCAGTGAATATTCGAAGAAGCCGTTTCATGTGTTTTGCGAATTGTGGTTGAGAATAGGGCCCAGTGGATATTTTTATGAACCCAGTAATAACATTTCCTTTCATTACAACAATGAATTTCTATCCCAGTTGAATAACCGCCAGCTGCTTGATGGAGACTGTATAGTGTAAATTAAATTATGTACAGTTAATCACTCTGAGACAGTATTTATAATCTGTGCACTTTGTAGATAACTGAATTGACAGCACAGTTCTCATGATGTGTTTGAGGTATGATATAGCAGATGGTGTAAAGTGTCGACATGGGTTCCAGAGCAGGCTGTCCTGTTGGTCCTGGGTTCACACTCTCAAAAGTATATACAGTGCGACCACTGTTGGCCAATAACAAGGATAAGAGAGGCCTGGCATTGGACGGACAGCTGAAACATGAGGACACAAACCTTGCATCCTCTACAATGTGAGTTGTGGGGCTCACAGTCATGAGCTGGCTGGAATACCCCATGAGAAGAACAAAGTTCATATTTTTTATATGTGAAGTGACAAGTCTAGTTACTGCAAGATGTGCTCTCTGTCTGTTTAAGAGGATCTTTAACTCTGCCCATACAGTATACACTTAGCAGTAGCAATGATTGTATGAGAAACACAGGTATACAGATAAGTTAATTCTTTGGAACAATTGGCGGTCCCAGTGGTTTAGTAGTTACCTTTTTGAAGCCTAGTGATAATTATATGTACCATCAACTTTATATAACTACTCTATAACTGCATTTTGCCCACAGAGTATATTTGAGTTTTGTATGAGCCTCACAGTAAACAGTGATTGTTTCTATAAGCAGCATTGGCAAAATTGTTCTCTTTGAGGTAAAAACTGAAATACTTAGATCAGCTCCAGTTTCAAAGCTTAATACACACATTATTATTATGTTCATTACTGACTTCTGCCTCTGATGTTGAAAATATAGGAAGCTCTCTGTCAGTGTAAAACCAACTGATCAGCTGAAGACTAGATTAGAGCCAGCTTTTGAAATGTCCAAAAAGGAAATGTGAGGAAGTAGACCGTAATGGTTTACCACAGTCAAATTTGTAGTTGGTATTTGTCCTGTAGAAGTGCCAGGTGTTTGAAAAGAAAAAACTTGTGGCACAGAAAAAGCACACAGTTAAACTTTGTGTCTTGTGGTAACTAGTTTCAAACATGATTAATATTTTATCTTTAGTTGATGGAATATTTATTGAAAATTGTTCTTCTCATAATTGATTTAAATTCAAGTCATTATTCTATGGAAGATTTGTCATGTGTCTGATACGTAGTAGGTTAAGAAGAATCATTGACCATTGCCTGCTAACAGTCAGTTTACCCCATTTTGTGCAACTTGATGTAAATGTTTTTTATTATATATATTTCATAAACACATCAATTTGGTGTGGTGCTTAGCATTCCCATTTCATATTCAGAATTGTCATGGTTCTGATCTCTGACAATTGTCTTGAATCAGTCCAGATCATCACTCACAATCTGGCTTTATAACCTGTACATTTGCAGAGGCATCCTTAAACTAAACAAACAAATTAAATAAAATGTGCATAAAGAAACATTGTTTATTATGAAAGATGTTTTTATAAAATTATGCATAACTTTCATTTAGGAGATGTCCTCTTTAAATCTGAACCAGAAAGCAGCTCTCACTTTGTTTTCTCAGTCCCTTCGGGCAAATGCTATGATGATGTCTAAAGACTGAGTTCATAAATTCTTTCAGGTGATGTATAGAAGGTTATATTAGAAATTAATTTGCATTCTGAATAAAATTTGCGTTTTTGAACTTTTGCAGGAGTATTGCTTCAGGTCAGTAACTGTCATTTTGAGTATTTAAGACTATGATTTCACTGGACCAAGAAGGATATACAAGTATAATGTTAAAATGTATCTTGTAGAATTAGGATCATGGGGTAAACTTGCTGACTTGCGGAGAAAGGTCTTACTGATTCTACCATAGAATATGACTTACTGCCAGCCAGCTATGATGTGCATCCCCCACCCAGTAGGGAGCGTGTGAGTGATGTTTGCTGTGTGTTTTGTGTGGTGGCGGTCGCTGCTGTAGAGAGGGGTGCCCCATCGGGCCAGGGTTCACACTCAGCAAAGTTTTCACGATGACTCCACTGCTCGCCAATAACAAGGACAAGTGGGGGTTAGCTCTAGATGGGCAGTTGAAACATGAGGACACAAACCTCGCCTCCAGCACATTGTAAGTCTGTGCCCACTCACAATAAAAGCTTTCATTCACTGTTATCATTTGCTTCTTGCAGAGCTTTGAATATTTCTGTCAGTTTAACGCATAACTGAAACACTTCTTTAACCCTTTTACTGCTTACATCACACAGTCTTATGGAATAGGATGAAAGAAATATTATGTTATAGCAATCGTACAGAATGTCCAGTTGTTTCATGTATCATAGTGTAATGGATAAACATTGGCATATTATTTTATTCTTAAAATTTCTCAGTGGATACTGACGTGAAATTTAGATTAAATTGGTGTTGCGTTTAAATGTGTTGTTTGCATGAAATGCATAAACTGAGCATATTACTGGGAGGTTGTGTCTGTCCATTTGCATGTTTCATCTCCAGAACTATTCACTAGATTTCTGTTAAATATTGTATTGGGGATCTACACTAAGAGTTGTTAGGTTAATTAAAATTTGATCCATACTCATCCTTCTTTATATGAAGATCAAGTTTGGGATTTCCCACTTAATACAAAAATGGCTTATCATACAATAAATTTGTTAAGATATTGTTGCAGCATAAAATAAGTAACTCATCAAGTTGACTAGTTAGTTGGTCACTTTTACCATGAAGTTGGAAGCAGTATGTTACTTCAGTAAGTTGGCAACCATCTACAAGTGTCCACAACCCATAGCCAAATATAGTAATTGGGTAAGCAGGTAGTTTCCTAGTTAGTTGGTTTGCTTAGTGAGTTATACTTTTTAGCAGAGGTAAAATGTTCTCATCTGGTATTGTCTGTTCCATACATTCTGCAAGGATTCCTTTATACAGAATGAAGAATAGTCTCATTGAGTCTTCACAGACTGCTAATCACCATTTCATGGAACAAAACTCAGGACAGTTACAGAAGATTTTTATAATAAAAATTATATCCATATTTCTTAAAGTAGGTCTTCAAATTCCAGCTTTCTGACAAATGCAGTGCCCTTACATGTGCTTATGCTCTTCAGCCCACAGTCATAATAGGTTTCTACATCTGGATACAATGGGTTGGCAGTGAAAGGGTTAAATACAGTGTAAGATTCAAAACTTTATGTTGGTATCATGGAATACAGTGAATGATCACAGGGACATGGCCTAAATTGCTGATTTCTATTTCTAGGGTTATGGCTAGCTTTGCTGTGCTTGTGCATTCTGCTTTGCCAGTGTTTCATTTCTGCTGCATGCTGCATAACTGCTGTCATGGGGTTGTAATGAAATGGTTGATCTTGATGTGTTTTCTGTTTATACTAATGGTTTTATTATAAAATCCAGTTTTTTTGTCTAGTATATTCCCATTGATAAATGAATGGTCTGAAATATGCAGTGTTCCACACCATTTATTTTATGTTTTAAAAATGCCACAGTAAAGTAAGAATATTGATGCTTTGGATACAGGTCTGTTCATGGATGATATGTTTTGTTTAAATGCAGTTATCTGAATATTGCTATCTGGCACATGTTCAATGTAACATACCAATTTTTTGACTTGTAAGAATTGTAACAAAACTCTGTGGAAATTTGTGTTTTCTTCTTCATTGAAAACAGTGAGCACATGTTTTAAGACTTATAGAATTTAATCAGCAACTGTGAAACTAATTTCATTGCCAAATTGAGAATCCTCATATTTCAGCCAGTTTTAAATAACATGGAAGATATTTTAGTGTTTGTATTCACAGTATCTCTTTAACAATTCTGATAAAATTTAACATTTATATTTTGTAAAACTCTGTTTATGTATGTGCATATAAATTTTATGAAATTTAATTAATATATGTTGTATGTTGCCAGTTCATTTTATTGATAGCTCTGAATTTTTATGCATAGGAATACTTGGGGACAATAGTCTCCTACAGTGCCTTTATTTATATTGTCATTTGTATCAATAAATAATACTTTTTTCTGTTTGCATAAACCCAGGGTGAATACAAATATGTTGAATAACTGCATACAGGTCTGAAACTTGACATGTTGGTGACACTACTATGTTGGGTTGTGCAGTGCTTGTTTTGTATGTATGTGACACAGTTCAGAAAATTTCTTACATAATCAGTCAGTCCTCTTCCACCTAATGGTGTCAAGATGTTTGAAAGAGTTCTCAACATTTTTCATTTTCTGTGTTTACCAGTGTATGTGTGTGTATTAATTTGTGTAAGCATCTAGACTTTGAATTTTATAGTATATCTTACAGCGATTTAACATTAAAATCATTTTTGTTTGTTTTCTGATTCATTTTAAATAGTGTAAAATCATTTTTGTTTGTTTTCCGATGCCTCTTAAATAGTGTTGTCATATTTTAACACTTTTTAAAATGTATTTCGGCAACTGTGAAACTTTTGTATTTGCCAATTTTATTGTTGCAAGTTGGACCTGTATTTACCACTGCTCACATGAACAGTAATGAACAATACCTGTAAAAACATTGAAAAGCATGCCTGAAGTTGTTTGGTTAGTCTCTTTGGGTGTTAATCAGAGTAGATGATATCTGCCAAATAGTTTCTGGTAGTAATGTTGACAACCTCATTTTCAGTCTTGTGAGAAAAAGGGGGGCAGAGCGAGATTTGCATTTTGTAACTTGGTATTTCTAAAAGATTTATAGCCATTTTCAATTGCTGGCTTCATCTATATTATTCTTTCATTCTGTTATCAGTTTTCTAACATAATTCACTCCCAGAAGACTGAAATAATGTTGAGGTGTGTGTCATCTGGTTCACTTAATCAAAGAACTAGATTCCATCACACAGTGTTGTAAGGCTGCGTGGTATTGGAGCAGTCTTCCAATTATACATGCTGTTAGAATTCAGAAGACTGTTGTGCCCTGTATCAGTTACCTTGATCTATTCCATCATATTATCAGTTATGTATGTTCACATCTTTGTTGTTTGCTTTCAGAGTGTCAGATCCTTCCCAGAAGGAGAATTTAGGAATTATTGTCCAGTACAAAGTGAAAGTAAAGCTGTGTCTTGGAGCATTAGGAGGGTATGTTCAGCTGCAGGGGAACTGGATGGTGCATTTGTATGGCCTTCCACGACATCTCTGTCTCACTTTAACAATGTAGAATGTCATCCTTCTGCTTTTTGTACCTTTTCCATTTTCGTAGCTTTGTCATTCTTATACTCCATACCCATTGATCATTCCAGTCCCCATTCATTCCATTGCTTTATGAATTCTTGTGACCACCATTTTTCTTTGTGTCCATACTATTACAACATTTTATTTCTTACACCTGTACACAGTATTTCCCTTTATGCTATTTGTATTTCTAACTATTTAATTTTGAACTAAGATGAAAAACTACACACAGATTACCTAGGTTTTAGTATCATGTAATTAAAATTACAAGCTGTAGACATGAATTTGCATGAAGTATAAAATCTGAAACCAAGTCATATGACAGGATCTGAAAGTAAAATAAAAGTTGATGAAATGGCAGATGCAGTGATGTAGACATGTGTTGTATTTCTGTCACTGTAGGATTTATTTGATAGTTTTGAAGTGAAAAAGATGAATACATGACCATTAGAGAGACTAAAGTCTAAGTAGAGAGACCGAGTGAGAGAACATTCAGGGAAGAGCAGGGAAAG